GGCCTTCAGGAAAACTTACAAGCACTGCCGAAGGGCAAAAGGGGAGTGAGCACATCACGTGGCTGGAGCAGCAGGAAGAGCGGGAGGTGCCACACACTTCTAAATCTCCGGATCCCTGGATGACTCACTCTTACCACGGACAGCACCTGGGGGATGGTGTTAAACCATGAGAAATGGTCCCCACGATGTAATCACCTCTCACCAGGCCCCACCTCCAACACTGGGGATTACAATTTGACATGAGATCCAAACCATATCAGATGGTTTGGTGGGAATTGGTGGGGTTTTTTTTGTTTTTGTTTGTTTGTTTTTTGACATCTCCTTGGGTGATTCTGAGACCGTGGGCTACAGTGAATTACTGGCTATTGGAGACTGTGTCTTATAGACCATAATTCAGCTTCTTATGTGTTTTCTATAATATGTAACTCTTTCTTGTGAGACGGAGTCTTGCTCTGTCACCCAGGCTGGAGTACAGTGGCACAATCTCGGCTCACTGCAACCACCACCTCCCGGATTCAAGCAATTCTCTTGCTGCAGCCTCCCAAATAGATGGGAACACAGGCGTGCGCCATCACGCCCAGTTAATTTTATTTATTTATTTATTTTTTGTAATTTTAGTAGAGACGGTTTCACCATGTTGGCCAGGCTGGTCTTGAACTCCTGACCTCAGGTGGTCTGCCTGCCTTGGCCTCCCAGAGTGCTGGGATTACAGGTGTGAGCCACCATGCCCCGCCTATAATACATAACTTCTTAAAATAACAGCGTAGTGCTTGTTTCTGCAACACATATACTAAAATTGGAACCATACAGAGAACATTAGCATGAGTTCCCAAGGATGACACAGAAATTCGTAAAGTATTCCACATTTTTCTTAAGATGGTAGATTTTGCTGTGTTGTATTTTACCACAATTAAAGAAAATAACAGTATGAATCATTTGATTGAAACCACAGACAGGTTTCAATAAACTGGGGCCTTTGTCACTAATTGAAATGTCATCCGTCTCTGTTTAAACGAATGTTGGTTTTTCCTTTCGTCTTTCAGGAAAAACTAACTTTTGTCACTGGTGACAGTTTTAGATACAGACACACCTTCAGCGACGCACGTTTACACGTCCCCCGTGGAATCTCTCTGAAACTGCTCTGTGTGAAGTACACGGTTCCCCACCCCGTCACGCAGCCCTCGGGAGTCCAGGTGTTATCCACTCTGCAGGGCTGCCCTGCTGGCCTCAGGGGACTTGTCCAGCTCTCCACCCTGTGCTCCCTATCCCATTTTCTCTTCTGTTGGGAGTCAGAAAACAGGAAGAAATGTCTCAGGCCGAGTAAGCCACAAGAAGGGTGTCCTAGTGCATAGGAAGCAGCTCAAAAGTTGGGGCAGATGGCCGGGCACGGTGGCTCAGGCCTGTAATCCCAGCACTTTGGGAGGCTGAGGTGGGCGGATCACATGAGGTCAGGAGTTTGAGACCAGCCTGGCCAACACGGGGAAACCCCATCTTTACACATGGGGAAACCCCGTCTCTACTAAAAATACAAAAATTAGCTGGGCTTGGCGGTGCATGCCTGTAATCCAGCTACTTGGGAGGCTGAGGCAGGAGAATCGCTTGAACCCGGGAGTTGGAAGTTGCAGTGAGCCGAGATTGCACCACTACACTCCAGCCTGGGCGACACAGCGAGACTCCATTGCAAAAAAAAAAAAAAAAAAAAAGTAGGGGCAGAAACACTGCTTTTACTATGGAATGCTGCTCCACCTCCTGCTATATAAGGTATAGTATAAAGTCCCCAGTATTTTAAATTCTGATGCGTAGCTGAGCCCATGAACTTCAGAGAAGCACTTTCAGTTTGTGGTCCTGGACAAGGAAAGCACTTAGAAAAGTCCCCGGCGCACAATAAACACACAAGTGTTAACTCCTCTCATGATGGCCTGCTAGCTAGCCTGGCCCACTGGGGTTGCGCTGTTCCTAGCCCAGAAAGCTTTGTCACGTTCTGCACACTTCAACCCAGGTGAAGCCACCACGTCACGCTGCCAGGACACGCACAGCCTCGGGACCAAGTCAGCTCGACACAAACCCTCCCTGTCTGCTCACCATCCTTGTCTCTTTTGGTTTTTCACTCCCACTCTCAGCTAGCAAGACGTGGACTCGATGTCGTGCTTATCAGCCGGACGCTGGAAAAACTAGAGGCCACTGCCACAGAGATCGGTGAGTGACCCCCAAACAAGGGAGATGTGTGTGGAGCCCACCAACCAAGCTTGCGCCCACCCTGCCAGCTGATGTACTTGGCATCCCCACATCTGCTCTCAGGGCCTGGGGCACCAACTCTCCCGGGCAGCCTGGTTACCAAGCAGAGGGCGGGATGGAAGGTGTCACCTTCAGTGCACACTGGCGCTGTGAGCTGGGGGAAGCAGGAACCAGCTGAGGCACAGATAGGTGCACTTTCTCCTTTGGGTTGGTGCCTTTGTCGCTAGATCAGCCCTGCTCATCCTTGAGGCCCTGGCTGCCCAGTTGCTTCTGCCACTCCCTTCAAAAGCAAGAGCAGTGGCCGGGCGCGGTGGCTCACGCCTGGAATCCCAGCACTTTGGGAGGCCGGGGCGGGTGGATCACGAGGTCAGGAGATCGAGACCATCCTGGCTAACCCGGTGAAACCCCGCCTGTATTCCCAGTTACTCGTGAGGCTGAGGCAGGAGAATGGCGTGAACCCGGGAGGAGGAGCTTGCAGTGAGCCCAGATGGAACCACTGCACTCCAGCCTGGGCGACAGAGCGAGACTCCTTCTCAAAACAAAAACAAGATCAGTGTTTGGGACTCCCTTCCCTGTGCCTATGCTCTGCTCTTGGCAGGAGGATGAGGGACAATGCTTACTGGTGTTTGTCAGATTTTAAAAACAGTTTTGATCCAGGATCATCATGTATGGATGTGGAGGTTGTACACTGTACAACCCTGAGGCAACTTTTATATCACAATGTTTTATTATTATGATTTGCTCTGAAGTGTTCTTTTGTTAATAATGATAATCATATTTCTTTTGGGACCTTTCAATTTTAATAATTATTAATTTAATAATTAATAAACTCTTTAACTCAAAGGGATGAGACGTTAGTTCTGGAGACTTGTGAAGACCATGGTGGGTTGTCAGGGGTGAGCCTTGTCTCCCTGGGGGAGATCTGGGACAGGAGATGGGTGTGGGAGGTGTGGGCTGTGCAGTCACACCGTGGAGCACAGTGCCCTTGAACCCATGAATTCTGCTTTTGTTCTGTGTCTGGATATCAGAAGTAACTTTGACTAGGACTGAGACAATCCTCAGTGTTTGCCTCACGATGCTGAAATGTGCTTCTTATCATCCTTTTGAAAAGTAAGTAGTGTCTTTGTCCTGAAAGCATTGTCCACCCCCAAACTATGCCTCAAAATTGCTTGGCCCACAAATACCAGCTAACTCCAAAGCAAAGCAGCTCACCAAGCCACTGGTAAACTCTGCTTGTTGCTTTCACATCTGCCGGAAAACTCTCACAGAAGGCAAGTGAACACAGAGTAGTGGGGAGTGCATTGAACTTGGAGTGACCAGAGAGTGGACGGTCTTGGGTATGTCAGTTAGCTTCTCTGAGCCTTCATTTTCTCCTCTGGAAAATGAAAACCATAATGTCTACTTTAGAATGTGGTAGGGACGATGACCATAAGACATCGTATATGTAAATGCTCTGTGAGTGCTAAAGCATTGGACACATACAAAGAGTTGGTGGGTCTGTGTGGAGGAGACTTGACACTTGTGAGCAGAGGCAGTGTCAGACCTTGCTTTTACAGCTGTCAGTCCGACGTCTCAAACTTGAGCAAGCAGCAGAGTCACTCGGAGGTGTGTTAAGCAGGTGGCTGGCTGGGCTTCACCCACAGTTTCCAACACAGTTGGTCTGGGGTAGAGCCTGAGAGTTTGCATTTCTGACAAGTTTCCCTGTAACCCTGATGCTGTGGTTTGTGGACTCCAGTTTGAGAACCGCTGCAGTAAATCTATCTTAATGCATATACGTGTCCCTGCTGTAACTCTTAGAGACACGTAGAAACCACCATTCACCAATCTCTTAGCACCTCCCAGCATTTACCCAGCGCCATCTCCCATTTCTGTTTGGGGCAATGGGCTGTCCTCTTCAATGTCTGCTCAGGTAATACAGGAGTACTTCACAGGCAAGGGGGCATCTAGATCCCTGTTCATTGAAAAAACTGTTGTCTCTCATGTAGAGCGGACTACAGGGAGGAGTGTGAAGATTATACAAGCAGATTTTACCAAAGATGACATCTACGAGCATATTAAAGAAAAACTTACAGGCTTAGAAATTGGAATTTTAGGTGAGTAAATTGCAAGATGCAAAGCTTGTTGTAATACATCAGTGAAATAACCTGGCACTGATTAGTGACACCTGATTATTTCATGGTGATTTATGCTGAAACCATGACTATATTTTAAGCTATAGCATTAAGTTGAATATCAAAGCACATTTCTTCTAGAGGCATCACTGAATAAAAAATTTATATATTGGTTTGGAATGTATCAAACATACATATTTCAACCCCCAACTATATTTTCTTTTTTTAATTTGAGATGGAGTCTCACTCTGTCGCCAGGCTGGAGTGCAGTGGTGTGATCCGGGCTCACGGCAACCTCTGCCTCCCAGGTTCAAGCGATTATCCTGCCTCAGCCTCCCAAGCAGCTGGGATTACAGGCGCCGCCACCACGCCCAGCTAATTTTTGTATTTTTAGTAGAGACAGGGTTTCACCATATTGGCCATGCTGCTCTCAAACTCTTGACCTTGTGATCCACCTGCCTTGGCCTCCCAAAGTGCTGGGATTACAGGTGTGAGCCACCGCACCCAGCCGGACTGATTATATTTTCTAATATTAAAATGAATTTTCTTTTATGGAACTGGTGTTGGCATTTGGCAGAAAAAGAATCCCAGAAACATTGGCCTAAAGGAATTAGTTTAGCAAACAAACATTACTGTGATGAATCCGTGAAATACTATAGTTAGTTGAGAATTGACTCTTTCTTATTCAGAGAACAATATAGTATTTGTTTCTGTAATGATTTACAGACAAGCTATTTTATGGCCACGTGCACAGTGCAGTGTTTATAGTATACATAGAAGAAAGTCAAATTGGATTTCTAAACCTTCTGCTGAATTTTAAAAATAATTACATTTTTATATATGAAAGTGTACAGTATATCATTGCAGAAAAATTGGAAAGAATAGACAGGCTGATAAAATAAATATGAATCTCTTAAAATCTCAATACTCTGAGATAGCCTTTTGGTGCATACTTTTCTAATCCCAAACACACACATATTTTCAAAACCAGAATTATACATATGTGCTGTTTTGTCATATATTTAAAAAAAACTTACATCATGCATCTTCTCCCATGTAAACAGCCCAGTCATAGTTTTTAATGACTACACTGTATTCCAACGTATGACAATCCCATGATTCATTGACGGTGTCTCCTACTACGTGACAAAATTTTCCCTCCAGTTTCCTCACTGTTATCAAATCACACTGTGATGAGCAACCTTACATGTCAATCTTTTTGTACAGGTTTCTTTGGGAAAATTTCCCACCTGATATTCTGACACATTTTTGTTTTGCTTCTTTCTGCCAGTCAACAATGTCGGAATGCTCCCAAACCTTCTCCCAAGCCATTTCCTGAACGCGCCAGATGAGATCCAGGTAGACTTGTGCTCTTCTGTGCATACTTTCCTCTTACCCAGGTTCTGGTCCCCTGGCTGGGTAACGAGTCAGGCCCGGGAAGGAGTGATGGAAGCGTGCATCCGGCCGAAATCCTGGACTGTGTGTATTCAGGCCCCCTTTTCTCTTCACCTGAGCACTCGATCCATAGTCAGCAGTCCCACTTTTCGTGATATCTCTGGGATATGGACATTTTCCTTCTTCTCTGCACATCAAAACTTACCTGTCCATCGTCCCATTCTTCTGGGGTGCTGCACTCCACTTTATAAAGCGTAATTCTGCCTAACACATTCGCAGCTGTGACCACGCGTGGGAGAAGACCAGCTCTTTGGCTTTCTCTGTCTTCCCAGGTACCAAGATTTGTTTAACTTTTAGTGTGAGGGAAGTATGTGACACAAACTCTGTGGCTGGCAGGACTGTAAGTTCAGTAAGCTTGACTCAGACCCATGGCTGCCGTTGTTGGTTGGGAGTACATTTTTAATGGATTTAACAGTTCCTTTTTTTTTCTTTTTGAGATGGAGTCTCCCTCTGTCGCCCAGGCTGGAGTGTAGTGACATGATCTCGGCTCACTGCAACCTCCGCCTCCTGGGTTCAAGCTATTCTCCTGCCTTAGCCTCCTGAGTAGCTGGGACGACAGGCATGCACCACCATACCCAGCTAATTTTTGTATTTGTAGTAGAGACGGGGTTTCACCATGTTGGTCAGGCTGTTCTCGAACGCCTGACCTCAGGTAATCCGCCCGGCTCGGCCTCCCAAAATGCTGGGGTGACAGGTGTGAACCACCGCGCCCGGTTGCATTTAACAGTTTTTGAAGGCACAATTTGTTGACCCTTCCTTAGGCCCTGACCTTTGGAGTCACAGGGCTGCACCAACCTGAGCAGGCCCTCATGCGTCCATCCCCCACTTCTGCAGGTATCCTGCAGTCCTGGGTAAGCCCCGACTCTGCTGCACCGGGTGATAATGCCAGACTGCTTGGGCGCTGCTGCACATCCTCACCAAACTCCTCTCAGGACCACACATCTCCTGTGTGGGCTCCGTCTCCCACACTCTGTTTCTGGCACAAGTCTATGTCTCTCCAGAAAGCAAGTTCCAGGCTCCTCTGCCTGTGTGTGTCTGTGTTTGTGCTAGTGTCTGTGTCCATCCTCTTTTCCTTTCTCTTTATCTTGGGTGATTCTAGTGGGTTCTTTACCTGCCCTCCATAGCCCAGAATTATATTATACAACCTTATATTATACAACCATCTGCCTTTCTGTTCTCCTAGACTCACATATGCTAACCCCTCTTCCTCCAGCTGGGAATGGAATAGCTGTCTTTGGAAAACCGTATCTATATTCCTCCGGTAATATAGTTCCAAGTTTTCCCGGAAACTCTTAATTGACGTCTAGTCAACATGACATAGGTACAGAAGGACAGAATGGGAGTCAGATGTTTCTTGATGCTAGTGCATGCTTGCTGGAAGTCAGTTAGGAGCCTAATTTGCAGGGTGAATGATGAAACTGCTCAGACATGCACTTTTGCCCTCTTCATGGTTCTTTAGCACTGACTACTTTCCAGGAGAATTTCTCTAATCATCCGGCTGATGTGTGGTTGTGATTATTTATTACAGAGCGTCATCCATTGTAACATCACCTCCGTAGTCAAGGTATGTGATCAATATATGTGCGAAATGCATTAACATGTAGTAGCTGTTGAAGTTTGGCCACTCAGGAGAATTGTGCCCGTCCACTGTAGAAGCAGCATTCTTTGAAATCGAACCGCACTTAGTTGAGAGGCCATGTCGTGGTCTTGTAATTGTCTTGTTCTGTTTTTCATCTGGAAAATACAGTCATGGATTCAACTCTCCCTTGTACCTGAATTCTATTTCTGCTTTCAGTTTTGTCACATGTCGGAACATATTAAGCTTGATGATGCTGAAACGTATTCAGGATTCCGAGGCAACTTAAAAAAAATTAGTCTCTTCCTCTAATTTTAGGCTTTGTAGATAGAGGAAAGCTCACTTTGGAAAACTGACGGAGGGCATGGCTTGCATTTTCTGAACTTTTGTTGTTCAATAAATATTTGTTGAATCAAAGCTCAAGTTCATCTGTGTTCTGGTTCCAGCACAGCTACTAATTAGTTGGACAGCATTGGACAAGTTATATAGCCCCCTTGAACTTGAGGTTCTGCATCTGCTGTTAAAAGGCTGTGGATCAGCTGGGCGCGGTGGCTCATGCCTGTAATCCCAGCACTTTGGGAGGCCGAGGCAGGTGGATCATGAGGTCAGGAGATCGAGACCATCCTGGCTAACATGGTGAAACCCTGTCTCTACTAAAAATACAAAAATTAGCTGGGTGTGGTGGCGGGCACCTGTAATCCCAGCTACTTGGGAGGCTAAGGCAGGAGAATCTCCTGAGCCGGGGAGGCAGAGGTTGCAGTGAGCCGAGATCGCACCAGTGCACTCCAGCCTGGGCGACAGAGCAAGACTCTGTCTCAAAAAAACAAAAAACAAAAATAAAAATAAAATGGCTGTGGATCAAGAGATGTCTTAGGCACCATTCAGCATTCAAGTTCTTTGATGAGGGTCAGCTGCACAAAGATGTATAGCACGAGTCCCTCAAAGCTATCCTATATAGACGATTTAGAGAAAGGTACTGTTTAAGAATGGACACAGCTTGCGGCTGCGTGACTTGGTGAGTAGACGAGGATTTTGTGTGAATGACGTGTTCCCCCTTCCTCTGGGGACAGAGCTCTCTTCCTCTACTAGGGCACGTGGCTTTTGAGTCAGCTCTGAGCTCCCCACCTGCACTAACCCCACAGCTGGGCACCTTGCTCAGTACACAACATTCACAGCTGTATATGGCAGCCTCGGTGACCACTCTGGAAGGTCAGTGGGACTGCAGGGATGAGTAAAGTCTGATTCCTGGTTTCAAGGAGCTGGGATCCTGGTTGGAGAGAAGCAGAAGGCTCAGTCTTACCCGTCTGAGCACCGTGGACTGACAGTAGTGGAGGACAGATTTCCCAAAGAAAGCCAGGCTGCTGTTAAGATAAGGAGGGGAAATGGAGGCAGAGTAGACAAAAAAAAAAATTGTTTTTCAGGTGGGTAAGTTGAGCTGACAATAACTGTTGGTTGTCTTTCTGTAAGCACGCTGGCATTTTATAGTTTCCTGCTCAGTTGCTACGGGGTACACACATCTTTTTACGCTTAGCAATCGATGGCTTTTTGGAGCCCCCAGCTGATGTAATTATGAGTTTTGTGTGTCTAACTGTCATCTGCAGCCTCACTCACCACTAAAGTCTTTCACGTTATTTTACAACTGACCTTTTAGTCTTGGGCTGTTTGACCATAGGCATTTCCCAAATGTACCTGACAACCCTCTGACTCCTTCAGCAGAGAAATGTTTTGATTTGTTTTAAAAAATTATGTATTTATAAACACTAAGTTCCCTAAGTAACAAATAAAATGAATTGAAGTTATCTTCTAAGTATAGCATGCCCCGGTGAACCTTGCTGGTTAGAAGCGTGACTAGAGAAGCTGCACTATTTCAAAGCAGCCATCTGGAGACGGTCGAGTGCTCTTCGGGGCAGGGATGGGAGAATATGCGTTTGAAGGCAAAGGGAGGCTGGAATAAGAAGCTGAATATGGGAAGCCTTGAGGCAGGGACCTACAAGATTCCGTGTTGTCTCTCTAATTGGAATCATTCAGGCAATAGGGCTAGTGAGGTCGTTCGGGAGGCTTTGAGGCAGTGTGGGTGCTGGCTGAAAAGGCTTATACAATATCCCTAGGACGTCATTCACGGAAAGAGGGCTGACACCATCTCGCCCCTCATCCTCCCTCTTCTTCCTCAAAATCCAGTGTTCCACAGGCAGCCTAGTGGTTCTAGAGAGCCCCCGCCCCCCCCACTGCCCTGGCCCCCTGGTCCCCCAGCAGTGAAGACGTTCCCTGAAGGCTCTGAGACAGGCTGGGGCCTGGCCTGGGAGCCGGCACCTGCGAGGAGCTGCTGCAGGGCCCCTAGACAGCATCGAGAAATGGGCGGCCTGTGTCTTCCGGGCCCCAGGTGCCTTGATGCCTCTGCCCCTCTCCTTTCACTTGGGTCCCTTGTCTCAAACCTGCTGCAGTCAGGGTCTGCTCCAGGCCTGCCAGGCCTGATTCTGGTCAATCCTACCTCAGAGAACATTTCAGTCCATGGGGTTGCCTCTTCCTTCGTTTGTAGAATGTGTACCTTGTAATTTTGAAACAAAAAGTTCTTTTAGGCTCCCCAAATGGCAGAGAAGACCTTTTCAGGGGTCTGTAGGCTGGGAGGGGGAAGGGTCTGCTCAAGGCTCTTGTAATTCCGACACACAGGAGTGGCCGCGCGCTGTGTGCACAGAGCTATTTCACAGCCCAGCTGCAGGCTGCGTAAGCGGCTGCTGTTGAGTGGAGGAGGCGTTCTTCTCTCTGCTGAGTCTTGTTAGGTTTCCGCATAGCTCCCCAGTTCCAACTCACGGCCAGTCCACTTTGGCCTGTCTGGCAGAATGAAGAGTATCATGGGAACCTCAGTGTCGGTCCCACAGCCGTAAGCCAATTCGCCCAATTTTTCACTGCCCTCTTTTTCCAGGAAGACATTAGCTTTAGGGGGAAGAAACCAGAGGCCCCAGAACAGCCTGTCATTTGTCTCGGTTGGCTGCTGTGGGTTCCAGCCAGACTCTAATGTGGCCAGAGTGACCTCCAATGAGTGCCAGCAATTTTCAAGGCCTGCTGAGAAGATGAGGCTCTTTCCCAGCTTCCTCCCGCGCTCCCTTCCCCATTCCATCCTGCCCCCTTGCACTGCTACTTAGTTCCTTGTCGGGCTTACCTGTGGCCTTCTCTTGTAGATGACACAGCTAATTCTGAAACATATGGAATCAAGGTAAGGCCTTCTTCAAAAAAGTGTGGAGCACATGGCTTCCCTGCCCTGGCAGTCAGCTAACTCGGGGACTGGGACACAGAGTCCACCTGGCTGTGCTTTCACAAACGGTAACAGCTACGATGAAAGCACATGGTGATTATGGGAAAAAAACATAACGTTCCGGGCCAGGCCAGCTCTGCAAATAGACAATCTCACGTGAAGGTGAAATGTAACACTATCGGAGGGAGGAAGACAAGGGCAGTTTCAACAAGCACTGGATTAAAGAAAAATTAACTAATGTTGAGTGTAAAAGAAAACTTCAGAAGTTGTCCTGAGATCGCGGCCATCTCTTTGTTAGGAATTTCAGCTTTTGTCAGAAAGAATACTCCGGTTTAATGTGAAAATGGCCGCTCTGTCAGCTCCTCCACTGATTGCATATTTACGTCACCCTGTTCCAATGCGCGTTTGGGAGGTGGTTTTTCTCAGGTGGTGTCGTTAAAAGCAAATGCTTGATCGCTTATCTTCCCTAGAGGGAGAAGGGGCTTGGCCTTGGATTCTAATTTGCAGTTTCTTGTCCCCTACTCCTCTATCGAATCCGTCTGATTGGGAGGGATTAAGGATACTGAATTTCAAAAGGACAAGTGAGGCTCCTGGAGACTGGCATAGGGTATCTGTGTGAGCAGGTCCTGGACTGTGAAATTCTACCCAAGACAACATTCCAGCATGTGACATCTGTCCTGCTGTGGGTCCGTGAGGCCAAAGGGACCGGCAGCTCATGTGGTCACATTTAGGGGAGAAGGATTCCCTCCCGTTAAATCCCGAGCTGAGCTGGTTATCAGTATCTTGGTGGAGAGACCGCAGCTGTAGGAGGGCCTCAGTCTCCAGGAGCAAGCCCCTCACATTGTGTGACGTCACATAACTGCCCGGTGGCATCTCTGTGCAGCGGAAATTCAGACATCGCTGCGTGGCGCCCTCCGGGGGAAGGCGGGGGAGGTTCACTCACCGTTCCTAGAAGCAGAGCCCCCAGCACCTGCGGAAGCCTGGAAAGGGCAGAGTCCGGCAGTGTTCACACTGTTTTCTTCGTACCCAAGGTCGGGTAGGCAACAAAGCCATGGGAACTTTGCTTCTTTGCCTTTCAGGCGGAAAGGTCTCATCCTGAACATTTCTTCCGGGATAGCTCTGTTTCCTTGGCCTCTCTACTCCATGTACTCAGCTTCCAAGGTGAGTGATGTCATGACTTCCAAGTCTCTTCCTTCTGCCTCTTATTTCTCCCAGTTGGCAATTTCCTTTGATCATCTGGCAAGTTGATGGAAAGGTTTGCCTGGAGACGCTCGCATATGTGCAGGGCTGAGCTAGTCACTGGGAAGCCCAAGAGGAAATTAGAATAAAGCCCTTGCTCCCAGCACATGAAGGAAGCCCTGCGGTGCACGACCCGGCCAGCCTCTGGGGATGCCAGCCCCGCTCACCTCCTCCGGGAGCCCTCGCCGTCTTCCTGCTGACAAGTGACACTGTAGCTTCCTTCCAGACTGGGCGGTCTGGCCTGACCATGCGCTAGTCATAAACACAGCCTGAGGAGGAGGGAGTGCTCTAGGAAGGAGGTTACTACATGCAGTGGCCCTAGGGATGGGTTTATCCCAAAACAGACATTCTTGCTGAGTGGGGGACCCTCTTCCCAGACCAGGGGATGAAGTGCTAACTCCCATCAGGACAAGCTGGTTCATTTTTCCCCTTACTCTCTTTCTGCCCCACTCTCCAGCTTCATGAAGGCATATTTGACAAAAATTGTGTCTATTAACAGTATGCAAGGTGATATTTTGATATATGTATATGTTGTGAAATGATCAAGTCAAGTGAATTAACATATCCATGACCTCACATACTTACCGTTTTTTTGTTTTGTTTTGTTTTGTGTTTGTGGTGAGGACCCCTGAGATCTACTCGCTTAGCAATTTTCCGGTATGGGGTCTATGATTGTTAGCTTTTGTCACCACGCTGTACAGTCGATCTCCAGAACATATTCACCCTGTGCAGCTCTGTACCCACCGTACCCACCGCACCCACCATACCCTCCGTACCCACCGTACCCACCGTACCCTCCGTACCCACCATACCCACCGTACCCTCCGCACCCTCCACACCCTCCGTACACTCCGTACCCTCTGTACCCACCGCACCCACCGTACCCTCTGTACCCACTGTACCCACCGTACCCTCCGTACCCTCCGTACCCACCGCACCCACCGTACCCTCCATACCCTCTGTACCCACTGTACCCTCCGTACCCTCTGTACCCACCACACCCACCGTACCCTCTGTACCCTCCGTACCCACCGTACCCACTGTACCCTCCGTACCCTCCGTACCCTCCGTACCCACTGTACTCACCGTACCCTCCGTACCCACCGTACCCTCCGTACCCTCTGTACCCACTGTACCCTCTGTACCCACCGCACCCTCCATGCCCTCCATACCCATCGTACCCACCGTACCCTCCGTACCCACCGCACCCTCCGTACCCTCCGTACCCACCATACCCTCCATACCCTCCATACCCACTGTACCCTCTGTACCCACCATACCCTCCATGCCCTCCATACCCTCTGTACCCACCATACCCTCCGTACCCTCCGTACCCACGGCTCCCCACTCTATTTTAAGGTCTAGCAGGTAGTGTCTGTGCAGTGCCCCTTGAAGTCGGAGGAAGTTGGCTCCGACAAGGGAGCACACTCTGGGGCCTCAGGTGTTTCTCCTTCTTGCTCCAGGCGTTTGTGTGCACATTTTCCAAGGCCCTGCAAGAGGAATATAAAGCAAAAGAAGTCATCATCCAGGTGAGGTGGGCGGCTGTGAGTCCTCAGGAAGGGTTACTCTGGACCTCCCGCGGGCCGGGGCCACTGCCTCCTGCGGGCCTGGCTGTGCACGTGTGGTCAGCAGGAAGAGCTGGGGAAGTGGGCTTTTGGGGGCCTCAGTCCCACCTGCTGCTGTGGCTTCTGCTGCCCTCCCCCACACCCTGGGTGCTGGAGGAGGAAATGGGGGAGGGGAGTGGCTGCTCAGAAATGCTGTGGACCTTCTTGCTACCTGATGCTTCATCCGAGCAGACATTAGGGTCGGCTGTGGCTTTTCCTCTCTGACCCCGGCACAGGACACAGGCTTATGTGGGAGGAATTCTGGAGAAGAAGCAAACAAAACAAAACTGGGCACTTGATCCGAGTTTGAACGAGGGAAGGGGCTAGTCACTGAGGGGGTGTCCATCTGTGATGGGCCACGGAGGTCGCCACACTCTGGTTCTTGAGCAGGTGAGGAGGAGGCACTCTGCTTCCCTTCCCCCTATGTCGTGGAGATGACCTGTCCTCACCTGGGCGGAGCTGGGCTGTCACTGCCTGCTGCAGGCTGAACAATGTGATTCCTCAAGTGTCAGTGATTTATTTGTGCTTTGTTCAGCAACAGAGTTAGAGTTAGGTAGTTTCTGGAGTGTAGAATAAACAGAGTTTTTGTTTTGTTTTGTTATTGTTGTGTAGGAAGAAGTTTTACAATATCCTATTAGAAATGGAGAAAGGCACATTCAAAATTATATCTTGGAAATTATTGCTGCACACACTGATTTTCAATTAAAATATCCAGTGAGAGTATTTTAGGCGGCTGTTCCTGTAAACCAGCCAGCTACAGGGTAAAGCTTATTAAGTAGTCAGATATGAGTTAACGGTAGGAATTTGGCCAATAATATCATTTCTGAGCCATAGTGAGTGGTTGTAACAGCATTGCCACCGTGTCACAGTCCCTTTTTCTGCCATGCAGAAGCCGTCTGACCCATCGGAGGGTCCTGCTTCCATGCTGGGGTCTCCATACTCCCATCCCAGCTGAAACTGGGGTTTCCCTTTTGCAATGCTGCAACTCCGCCTGGGCTAAGTTTGCTGCAGTAAAAAATAACCCCTAAAATCTCAATGGCTTAAAACAACAAAGTCCTATTTTGCATTCATGCGACACATCCACTGTGGGTTCACAGAAGACGTTAGCTGACTGTGTTGACACAGGGCCCCTGGCTGATGGAGCAGCCGACGTGCCAGAGGAAAAGGAGTGAGAAGTTCTAGTGGGTCCTGCTTTGACAATGAAGTGCTCTGGCCCAGAGATGACACATGTCACCTCTGTTCATAAATCACTGGCCAAATCTGGTCCCACACAGCCACCGGGGGCCAGGAAGTGCGATTCTATTATGCGTGTGTCTGGAAGAAGAAGGAACCAGGAATCCTTGGTGATTTCTAAACATGAATGATCATCACAGCCACCTGCTTCCTAGCCTTGTGACCCTCAGCAGCATCTTATCTTGATCCTCAGGGCGCAGCTGCAGAGGTAGTGGGTACCATGGAGCAGCAGGGTCAGGAAGAGATGTGGGTGGGGAAATGGTGTCCCTTGTTTCTTCCCTGATGCAGAGATCTTGGAGGTGCTCTTCTAGCAAGGAGGAGAAGGTGAAAAGACTGTGATCTTTCAAAAACCAATTGGCCTTTCCAAACGCACACATAGTTGGTGCTCAATAAATATTTGCTGAATGAATGAGAACGCATGTACTGTGGAGCTGGGTTTGAATTTCATCCCAGCTCTGCCACTTTTCATCTGAGTGATCCTGGTCAGCTTGTTTAAACTCTGTGAGCCTCAGTTTTCCCATCCATAAAAAGGGGCTTATAATGCCTGCTTATATCTCTGGGTTATAGTAAAGATCTAATGAGGAAATAGGTACATATGTTTAAACAATATTTATTGAGCCCCTATTTTGTACATACAGATGTTTTGTCAACCCCAAATCACTTAAGAATGAAAATACTTATCATTACTTCCCTATCTGGAAACTGTGGTGGAGAAAGCACCCTCCTTATATTTCTCAAAGAGTAATACTTTGAGATCCTTGGAAGAAAAGTGTTATACAAATTAATCATGCTTTAATTTCCATAGGAACCTGCGCATTTGGATTAACTGACTCATAATTGGGTTCAGTTATGAAACAATGTAATTCCAAATGTGTGATGTGAAGATAAATAAAACCAAAAAAACTTTTGTGGTTTTTTTTTTTTTTACTTTTTCTCCCTTCCTTCCCTTCCTTCCTTCCTTCCTTCCTTCCTTCCTTCCTTCCTTCCTTCCTTCCTCCTTCTTCTTCTTTCCTTCCTTCCTTCCTTGACAGGGTTTCACTCTGATGTTACCCAGGCTGGAGAGCAGTGGCATGATCTTGGCTCACTGCAACCTCTGCCTTCCAGGTTCAGTGGATCCTCCTGCCTCAGCCTCCTGAGTAGCTAGGACTACAGGCATGTGCCACCGTGCCTGGCTAATTTTTCTGTTTTTAATGGAGATGAGGTTTTGCCATGTTGCTCAGGCTGGTCTTGAACTCCTGGGCTCAAGCAATTGTCCAGCCTTGGACTCCCAACGTGCTGGGATTACAGACGTGAGTCATCATGCCGGCCTTTTTTCTTTCTAAAGATGCCAAACCCTTTGTTCTCGGAATAAGGTAATAAAACCCTATTACGAATCCCCGTGCCAGGCCACAATGTGGTTAGACCACAGGTGGAAACATGGTGTTGGGTTTTTAGGGCACAATGTGTGATTGTTTTTCTTACCACAACAGGAAAAGGTTATGAGGTATGTGCCACTCTTGGTTCCTAACTGAAGTGTGAAAGTGGGAATCCAAAGTGCTTTCGGTTGCTCCGACTTTGGTTATATGTATTAGAAACAAACTTCTGAGGTAGAGTTGCCAGATTAAATACAGGACCTCCAGTTAAATTTGAATTTCAGATGCCTATGAGTAGTTTTCAGTATGAGTATGTCCCATGCAATACTTGGGACACGATTGTGCTGAAGTGATTTTCAATGTTTGAACTTCAGATTTAACTGGACATCCCATATTTTTATTCGCTGTCTTGCAACTCGGTTCTGAGAGACCCGAGTTCTTCCCGTTCACGCTGTGTGTTGGGCAGGGCATTTGGGCCACCTGATGTTGGCCAGCTAAGTCCTCATCTTGAGAAACCAAATTTTTGATTCCCAGCTCTGTGCCAGTTCTGTGCCTTTTTCCACTGAAGATCTTAAAACCTTGCCTAGGAAGAGAAGGGTCGGGAAGTGGTGGGACGGGGTCTTGAGTGTTAATTTCTGAGTCTTCTTCCGGAGTGGATTGCTTCTGTGCCACGGTCTTTGTTTCCCGTTGTAGGTGCTGACCCCATATGCCGTCTCGACTGCAATGACAAAGTATCTAAATACCAATGTGATAACCAAGACTGCTGATGAGTTTGTCCAAGAGTCACTGAATTATGTCACAATCGGAGGTGAAACCTGTGGCTGCCTTGCCCACGAAATCTTGGTAATTGATAACTTCTCCTTTTCTTGAAGCCAGGGAGGGAGGACATGCAGGTGGCCCTGGCAGGGCTGGGCTAGCTCTTCCTTGCTGCTGGAACACTCATCGATGCGTTGGGTATTGATCTTTCAAAAACCAATTGGCCTTTCCAAACGCACACATAGTTGGTGCTCAATAAATATTTGCTGAATGAATGAGAAAGCATGTACTGTGGAGCTGGGTTTGAATTTCATCCCAGCTCTGCCACTTTTCATCTGAGTGATCCTGGTCAGCTTGTTTAAACTCTGTGAGCCTCAGTTTTCCCATCCATAAAAAGGGGCTTATAATGCCTGCTTATATCTCTGGGTTATAGTAAAGATCTAATGAGGAAATAGGTACATATGTTTAAACAATATTTATTGAGCCCCTATTTTGTACATACAGATGTTTTGTCAACCCCAAATCACTTAAGAATGAAAATACTTATCATTACTTCCCTATCTGGAAACTGTGGTGGAGAAAGCACCCTCCTTATATTTCTCAAAGAGTAATACTTTGAGATCCTTGGAAGAAAAGTGTTATACAAATTAATCATGCTTTAATTTCCATAGGAACCTGCGCATTTGGATTAACTGACTCATAATTGGGTTCAGTTATGAAACAATGTAATTCCAAATGTGTGATGTGAAGATAAATAAAACCAAAAAAACTTTTGTGGTTTTTTTTTTTTTTA